CCGTTGATGAATATTACACAGGCGACAGTAAGTTGTTGTCAGCGTAACATCTACGACAGCCTCAAGATCTTGCCCTTGTTCTGAATCATAACCAACCTTTATATTATTGTGTCACAAAGACACAGTCAAGGTATTAAACGATTGTACTGATTTTGTAATTTAAAGTAAAAAGTAAAGATACGTAAAAATTAAAGATCCCTTATCACGCCCTATGCGCATTGGGTATATGGGAAGAGCGTCCCATATTTTTACAGACCAATCGGCACTGTATGGGTAATGTGGTCAGCATTACGTCGGCAGTCTTTGCTTCCGCAGGACAGCCATCCTAGTACCCATTTTAGGATGGGTCGACCTGCGACGCCCCATACCATGATAGAAATCCATGCAGCCAGCAGTTAGTTTCGATCGCGGTACGTTGGATTACGATTCGGGCTCGCAACGCCATAGCCACGGGCGCCGCATGATTTTGCAATGGCCAAGACAAAAACGACGTAGATAAGGCGAAGCTAGTCACCCAATCAATCAGCATTCATTTATAACTGCCAACTGTTATTAAAGTTAGTTGCGTATCTTTTATAGAACTTTGCAGAATCAACCCCATCAATTTTAGGCTGTTTTGGTTTTTCTAGACGGATTTTATGTTCAGTAGTTTGCCATTGCTTTCTGTACGGTCAGCTTTCGGTATCACTGTCGAAACCAACGCAAGACATTCCGTCTGCAGCTGGGACTGAACCAGGGGCACCCCGGCGTTACCAAGGGCGTTTGCAGCGCCTAAGCCACGAAGCCGACAAGTGCTATTACTGCCTGTTTTTACCAGTTCAGCCTTGAATGGCTAAAAGCTACACGTTAGTATTCATGGCTAATAAATGTTGTAACCTTTTCATGTCGTTATCCCAGGCATAAGCACTATGCACTTTGACTTAAATGAAATTTCCCTAACAAGTTGCTTTGTACGGCATGCTTATTACGGAGTTGGTGGATCTATACTTTTTCTTTTTCCCGCTGAGAATAGGATCATTATCTTTCCTTCTTTGACATGTACTGCTAAAGTCTACTGAAAGATGTTTTATTTTTATTTTTAATATACAGAAGCCATGAGTTGTTAACCCTTAGGCTTGGTATTATGGATATCGCAACCCTTCGGCCTTGATTCCATTGTAAATACCGTAAATCTGGGAGAAATGTGGCTTTTCTGCCTACCCCCGGGAGAGAACCAGGACCACAAGGAGTTCGTCACCCGGTCACCGCGCAATCCGGTTTAGCCAACTACGCTAGCTTGCCGGGCAAAGAAAGAGAGAGATATTTTGACGTCATCTTTCTGTCTTTGCCTGCCTCTTTTACTTTGCATTTTCTCCTTAAATAGCTAATGTCATATCACCCTTTTTCAACTGAAAAGTCCTAATTTTAGTTGTCTTTTGATTGTGAAGAAGACGAAGAAGAAATAAGAAGAAGAAGAAGAAAAAGAAGAAGAAGAAGAAGAAGAAGAAGAAGAAGAAGAAGAAGAAGAAGAAGAAGAAGAAGAAGAAGAAGAAGAAGAAGAAGAAGAAGAAGAAGAAGATGAAGAAGAAGAAGAAGAAAAAGAACAAGAACAAGAACGAGAAGAACAAGAACAAGAAGACCATAAAGAGGAGAAAGAAGACATTTATCTGAAATCCTCCTGACAGACTTCATTCTTCGTATATCCATTGTCTGTTTTCGGCAACGAGTGTAGCTTTATAAAATATGTTTCCTCCCTAGTTGTGTATCGTGATTACCATCTGAAAATTTGTGCACGAAATAACAATTAATCCCGTGAACAATATATATCTACCAGCAGTTTTCTTTCTGACTTTTCTCCATTCCAATCCTCTGTCAGTTAGGTACTGTCGAGTGTCTTCCCAGTGTACCCTGGGTCGCCCTGGATGTCTGATTCACTGGTTCTTAGCCTCTCATGCCTGCCATGGTGGCCGATTTTCTCCTATTTTCCATACATGTCCAAGCCATCGTAACTGTGACTGATCCACTCGGGTTTGTAAGGACTGGGTATCAAGATCTTGACGTATTGTCTACATTCTGGATTTGCCCCCCTTTGTCACTTGGACCCCCTTTCTCAGATATCTAATTTCTGAGGCCCGAAGCTTGCTTCTGTGAGCTGTTGACATTGTCCGTGACTCACAGTCATAGGTCAAAACTGGTACAGTTAATAGGTCAAGACTGGTTGGTACATAGGTAGAGCGGTAAACAGCCATGTTTTTCCTTTTGCTAATTTCTCTTTTGCAAAGAAACCCTCGTTTTATGGCTTGGAAAAGTCTCTCAGCGGTTGCTTTTCGTGTAGCCAGCTCGGTCCTAATGCCTCCGTTTTGGTCTAAGACAACTCCAAGGTGTTTGAAGTGGTTGACCTGCTCTAATGCATACTGTCCCATCATGATCTGGTGTTTCTTCTCCTCTCTTGAGATCACCATGGTTTTAGTTTTTGGAGAAACTGATGGCAACCCTCTCTTCTCAAGCACTTCATTTTAGACCAGTAAGCTGAACTGAAGGTATGCCTCTGATTTAGCTATATGTATTTAAAACGACCGTAAATGATTCTTGTCGAGGAAATTAACATTAATGTTTATATAATCCTTTATGAATGTTATTAAAACTTAGTAAAGGACCAATTTCGCAACTTTGGCACATAGGGCATACAGTACAAGACCAATGTGTGTATAAACTAGACAGCAGCCCATATATGATGTGGTCATCACGTCGGCGCCTTTTCTGCCTATGACACAACTGGTAGCTGTGGTAGACAGGATTGATCTGATAGAGGAGGTTAGTGCTAAAAACAAAGCATACATCAGTTCTACTCTGAACCCTACACCTTCTGGTCGGCAGATCAGCGTGTAGCCGCTATCATGCCTCGGCACCCTCCTTGATTGTGTTTGAACAAAGTTCACACACATACTTGTGAGTGAAACCAAACATAGAGTGGGACCAAACATAGAGTGGAACCAAACATAGAGTGGAACCAAACATAGAGTGGAACAAACATAGAGTGGAACCAAACATAGAGTGGAACCAAACATAGAGTGGAACAAACATAGAGTGGAACCAAACATAGAGTGGAACCAAACATAGAGTGGAACCAAACATAGAGTAGAACCAAACATAGAGAGGAACCAAACATAGAGTGGTTACTGCAGTCGGGCTGATGACAGCAAGTGCTGAATACAATATAAAATATGAATAGAAAGCTCAAAAATGGGAATGGAAAGGACGCGCACAACTACACAAGTTTTTAAAGGGTTAGGAAATTATAGGGAAGAGAAAAAGTTGGTACGAAAAAACAAACAACTTATATTAGCTTTACAAAATCGATAACAATAAACAAACAAAGGACGTTGCGGCGATTAGCCTTCATCAACACATAAAGAACAATACAGTACACATACACAAATATGCTCTAACTATGAAGTGACTAAATGGGACTAATGTACACAATAAATGATACTCATCTGTGTCCCTGGCGAAAAACTTCCTTGAAGACGATGTCAGAGACAGGTACTGGCCTATTTATCACCAACGCACGGACGGGGAGCAATAAACGGGTTCACTATGACTAGAAAATGGACGGAGTAGACGCCTACAGACACAACAGCGTACACTGAGTGTCTAAAGAGGGAGGGAGGGGTTGTCCAATAAGGCGTAACCTGGGTTGCTTTATCAACGGAATACTAAATACAACATATACTGTGACTGGAGAACTCAACGGATAAAAAAGTGGAAATACTGTTATATTTGAAAAGATGTCCTTTTCGGTGTATGTTAAAAGATACAAAAAGTACCTTTTACAGACCCCTCTAGTGTACCAACTGTTGGATGCGTCCGCTGTACCTTGAACACAACGATCACAGAGCTGCTCAAAGATGCCACCAGAAGGTTTATATTTATTGAAATGAAGTACTTCTCTCGCTTCTGGGACGAGGCAGATGGCAAACTTCGTGAGCAGATCCGGCAACTTATCAAGGAACGTAAGTAGAATAATGTAATGTTTCACCTTCTCTGTTACTGGCAGCTTTTCGTTTTTAAGGAACTACTGTTAAATTGTGAAACATAGAGACATGCCAATCACTGGCGTCGCTATGGCGAACTTGTCAGCAACACTTACCTACCTTGAGAAAAGCTTCCCAAATCATCATCTTCACTGTGTGTCTTTGGGTCATCAGTGGCTGTTAACTATCTGATCGGCTATTTCCACCTTTGGCGGTCACATGCTATGGACTTGGGGCTAGGTTTTTCGGTACCAGTGGTTCGATTTCATGTATGTAATTCTTGTCAGGTAGTCAACTCCTACCCTTCTGCAGTCGTGATCTTTCTTTCACGTATTCCAGTTCCCTTTCTGATTTTTCCTCCTTCGTGCAACACGGTCCATGACATTCTGTTCCCAAAAGTCTACTTTGTATCGTAGTAAAGAAAGATCATGTCATCTCTTTTAACGGTTTGCGCATCTCCTCTCGGTAGTACGGGATATATGATGTAATTGAATAGAGAAATTACTCCAGGAGTGGAAAGAGTCATTATTAGTACCTATCTTTAAGACAAAGTAGACAATGACAAATTTGAAAATTATATAGGAATATTGCTATTCTCTACAAGGTGTATGATACTGTCAGTACTACTGCTAAACAGGCTGAAACCCTATGTGGAAGATATATTGGGTTATTATCAGGCCCGTTCCGACAGAAAGGTCAACAGTAGATTCCTCTTATGGGAAATAGCAGAGAAAAACGGTGAGAGAAGAGAGTTCTTTTAGATTTGAGAAATGGATATTTTAGTGAATAGATAAGCAGTTTTTCAATGCTATACATTGCTTTAGAATATTAATTAACTTAATCGATATCACCAGACACTTATAATTTAGTAAAATATAAAGGCAGAAAATCCGATCCATTTTAAATTGCACCTGGCTTAAAGCAAGTTAAAATTATACCCTGTCCACACTTTTGTTTTTTTTACTAGAGAAAAATTATAACAAAAGTGAAAGAACGTACTATAAGAGAAACTTTAAAAATACATTGTTATGCAGATAATTTAGATAAAGGTTTAGAAAATGAAGTAGAGTTAAAGCACTGAGTCACTTTCAAATTGCAGCTCATATATAGGATTAGTTATCAATCAAGAGTACATGATAATAACAAGACAACGAAAGGACAAACACTCCGGCCACATAACAAATAGATAATTAAAAACATCAGCCCGGCTGAAATATACAAAGCTTGGGTAAAAACCTCTCTTCTATACTAAGAGAAGTAATACAGTCTAGAGTACAATCTGGAAATAAACTATACTATGCTTTACATCTGCTAACTAGGACATAGCCCCACAAGTCACAACACATAAAGCGTTGATAACACCAGTGGTTTTACATTGCGCTGATGCATGAAGCATATGGTTGTTTATCCATCACGAGTAATGAAAACCACTTTTTATTCAAAGTAGTAGTGATCAGTGATTATGAGTACCAAGGTGGCTGATTAGTCGGATGATATTTGAAGCAAATTACCTTTAGGGGCTAAAAAAAAGATGAGAAGAAGAAGAAGTGAAGAAGAAGAAGAAGAAGAAGAAGAAGAAGAAGAAGAAGAAGAAGAAGAAGAAGAAGAAGAAGAAGAAGAGGAAGAAGAAGAAGAAGAAGAAAAAGAAGAAGAAGAAGAAGACAAGCATTATCATGATGACAAATGATGATGACATTGATTATAAATGATGATGACACAGAAACCAAGTCAAAGAAAAATAATATGTAGGGAAGGAAGATTGGAACACCAACGCGGAAAAGAGATAGAGAGAGAGAGAGAGAGAGAGAGAGAGAGAGAGAGAGAGAGAGAGAGAGAGAGAGAGAGAGAGAGAGAGAAGAAAACAAAGAGATACGATAATTTCAGATTTAAAAGATTATACGATATGGAAGACAAAGAAGTCGAGGAACAAAAGTTGGAAAATATAACTAATATAAGAGGAAGCCTAAATAACATACGAAGACGAAGAGAAAATTATCATCAAAGATTGAGACCAAAAAAAAAAAAAAACTGTCAGGAAAAAAAATTAATGATGCATCGTGAAAAACCAAGACGACTTTTTTTTTTTTTTTCTACATAGGGCAATTAAAAACTGTATAAAATACAATCATTATCTTTTTTTTCGACAGCGCAATTTATGTTGTTGCTATTGATCCTGCTGCTGCTGCACATACGACGTGTTCACGATGTCATTTAGATTGCCTCCTCCGTTGTTTTGTTATATAACCAGCCTTTCTCAGTTAGAAATTGCATCATCATCATCATGTGTGCTGCCTACTGGCTTAGGCCCTCATGCGTCTCAACAGAACACGATCCCTGGTTGCCTGGAACAGCTCACTTGATGATATCCCTCCATGCCATCGTTTCAGCCCATCCAGCATCATCTTTCTTGGTCTGCTTCTACCCGTTTTTCCACTGATCTTTACAGTTGTCTAATGTTTCTAATGTTCTCCAATGTCTCTCTTCTCATTATGTGGCCAAAGAACAGTGTTTGTCTTTTTCTTATTGGCTTCTTTCATGCAATCGTTGTTAGTTACTCTGGCCGTCCAAGGTATTTGTTAACATTCGTCTCAGAAACAACAACTCTGTTGCTTTCAAATTCTTCTTAATTCGTTCACCTGACATTCAAGATTCGCTGCTGTACAACAGAACAGGTTCTATGTAACAGTTTAGCATTCTCTATGTTAGAAATTTACAATTGTAAATACATTAACAAATAGTAAAGGATGTTTTACAGTGGCGCATGATTAAAAACCCACCAGAAATAAGTATGTGAACACTTATTTCTACCAGCTCTAGAGGGCATGGAATAATTGAAGAACTGTTACCTATATTATTGCTTGCATATCCACAATCCTATTTAACACGTGTGGGATGAGGTCCCTGAGAAAAGACGCCAACTTAGCATCCGAGACCGAACGAGAAATGATACTATCAGACCGAAAGTGGGAACAATGCAGAGCACCAAATATATTGAGAAGCTGAAGATCCGATAGTTCGGTCCTCCCATTAGAATGGTGCCATAACTTCAAATACAAGCGTTACACCTAATAAGACTTGATGTCAAAGCGAGAGGACCTTCAAAGAGAATACATATCAATGTCATTAATGACAATCTACATAGACATTAAATGGCCATATTTATTGCTCATTCATACACGACCTCTATATTCGTACACCCAGTTCGTTCAAAACCTTGCGTCTGTGTGTTTGTGGTCGTGCGTGCGTGTCTGACCCATGCGCGCCATTACCTACTTCTTTCCTGCATGTTCTGCATATGATCCTCGTACAAATATTACATACTTCCTGTTTGTTATTCCAATAAAAGCTGTACGTGCCTACATGTAATAAATATTCCTATGTTGCATACTTAAAATACATTTCTCCTGCATAGATGTAATACATAGGTCCTTCTTGATACATCTCTGTTATGGTCTCTTGGCAAGTTTTGCAGAAGATAGTTTGCCATTGCTTTTCTTCTGGTCAGTGACTGTACTAATCGGTTGCCATAGCCATTGCCTCTATAAGAAGGTTGGCTATTAAGGACGATAAAACACAAAAGATTTAAATTTTTTGATCACTTGAAACGTTGCAAAAATTTAGAGAGAACAATGATGGAGGGGTATATGACAAAAGTTATTCTTAAATGAATGTGTGAATAAAATTATGTATGAAAAGATGAAAAGACAGATTATTGTAGCAGGAGACGGATCTGGGGCTGCATGGTCTCCAGGCATGGTTTTCGCCTCGAGTGCTAGAGGTTCCGGGATCAATCCCCGGTAAGGGCTGGAATGTTTTTTCACGTGGACTTGGGCGTCTAGTAATTTTCCCTGGTAGTAAAATCAAACGCTCGTGTGTATTGTTGCGCACTTAAAAAAAAAAACCTTGGCAGTTGGAAATCGAAAAGAGTAGCCTAAAGTCGCTGCCTAGGGAAAAATTTTGAGTTAAAAATCTACCCAAAGTATTTCAGGATCCTCGCCGGTGTTACAGAGCCTGTGCACTGTGCTGAGCTTCTTCGGACTCAGACTTAATTTATAAAAAGAACTGTGCACTTACTGGTTACTACCCGTGTGCCATGATGCTGATCCGTTGTTCAAAACCTCAAACCTCAAAGTAGACGAATCCGAAAGCCAATTTCTAAATTCTTGGAAATTTAAATTAGTTTATTTGTCCGTTTTCTTTTCTTTCTTCAAACTTATACACACGTCTTTCTTCGTAAACCTAACATATTTTTGTATTTCCTTTACCTAATCGATAATTTGTCATCGTATACCTACATTAATACATGCTGGTGCCAAATACTAATGGCAAACCCTAATTTATTCCCACTTCTCTGCTTGTCACTGGCGTGCTGACTACTGAAATTCGAAACCTGTGTGTATCCAGTACCATTAACTTCAGCATGTCCCCTGACGTTCTTTGTGTCCTGTTCAATGGCTGGGAGTATATTTCTGCTGTCACATCTACGGTCTCGGGAGCCCCTCGTGGTGTAGTGTGTCTGTGCAGGGTGGTTATGCTGTCCCCTAGTCTGGATAAGTTGAGACTGGATTTATTTGACAAAGAAAGACTAGTCCAGCAGCCAGGACGCTTGGTGCTTTTTATGAGACTTCGGTTCGAACCAAGGGCAAAATGTCTTAGAAGTGTGTTCTGGCAAGGGTCCATTTAAAATCATAACGTGAATTCGCGGCGACTATTAGCCATGCGGCACTAAATCGTCGGGGTCAAGATCCCCATGACCTCACGACTCCAGCAAAGAGATAAATAGGAAACAAAAGGACAAAGAAAACACATGGCCAATTGGTAGAATATGTAAACATCGAGGAAGACAAATCCCGTAAACAAGATCGTGTGCCAGAAGCGGAAATACTTTTACCATTCTACAAGCAGCACTGGTTGAGACAGGACAGTCACTAAAAACATGGTTTCTGGGAGAAGAGGAAATATTGTTACCATTCTACACGCAACACTGGTTAAGACAGGACAGTCACTAAAAACATGGTTTCTGAGAGAAACGGCACTGGTCGTCGAGCAAGAATGTTATCATTACTAATGTGACGCCCATTCAGTAATAGTAAAGATCCCTATTCACGCCTTTTGCTCATCGGGTATAGGAAGAGAACTCCATATTTTTACAAACCAATCGGCACTAGTTGCGTAATATGGTCAGCATTACGCCGGTAGTCTTTACTTTCTCAGGATGTCCACCCTGGTACCCATTTTAGGCTGGGTCGACCTGCGGCGCCCTATACTATGATAAAACATCACGCAGCCAGCAGTGGGTTTCGATCGCGATACGTTTGAATTACTAGTCGGCCCTGCAACGCCTAAGCCACGGAACATTCAGTGAAAATATACTGAATTAATCAAGTAACAGAAAGTATTGTGATCGGCACTCATGGAAAGAAGTAGAAAGATAGAAGAACACACTAGACAACATAAAAATCGAAAGCTATAGTTACCGTGCCTGGAATTGAACCTGTCACCTCCAGACGGCGTCTGCGCCTCGCCATGAATACAAGTGCACTAAGATACATGGTCAACTAGGCACCCCCTATTTATAGTAAAAATATACAAAAGTACACACACAAAAAGGCAAGTGACTTTATTTATAAATTGATCTGACGCAATGAAATAAGTAAAATAAATAACGGACCCTGTTCAACGCCTTTCAGGCCTATTGGGTATATAGGGCTAGACCAATATTTTATAGATCATACCCGGGGGATGATGTGGTCAAGATCACACCGGTTGCCTTTACTTCCAAGGATTTTACCTGGTAACTACTTAAGGCTAGGTCGACCTGGCACCCAAGGTTATTTTTGGAAAAGGTCCGGCTCCGTCAGGAACCGAACCCACGACCATTCGATCCGCAGGCGAGCGTCTAGCAGCTAGACCACGGCAGCTCCCGCAGTGAAGTAAGGCCATAGAAAAAAAAAGTGTGCATTTGAACCAGTACTCGGTCACATACA